CACCTCCACCCTAGGCATTATTTTTAATTCTTTAATTCTTTTTTTTTTTCATTTTACGATCATATTGAGAGTTGTAAGTCCTCCTTTGATGTTTTTTATTTTTTTATTTTAAATTTAGCCGTTGGAACAGTGAAGAAAAAGATAACAGAGGCTAAGTTATCCTTTTTCCTTTCATCGTTTAATATTTTTTCTTTTTCTTTTCCTTCTAGATATCCAAATCATTGTGTTGTCACTCAACATCAACAAGTGAATAGCTTTATTTTTCTTCCTTTGAGATGAGGGATAAGATTTCGGGTTTTAAGAAAGACATTCGAGTAGTTATAAAAAGCTCGGTCAGCAACTGTCTTCGTGTCTGTAGCGCATGACTGAACCTTCAGACTCTTTGAAACATGACATTGGTCTGGTGCAGGCGGATGATGTGAGTCTTATCGCACGTACATGAACTTGACGCTCGCCACGGCTCCACCAAGATGATTCTTGGTTGCGCGCGCGTGTGAGAATAGCATAGCTTTCAATTCATTTTCATCCAATGGCTTTATATTTTAAAGAGAAAGAGAATAAAACAAAAATATCATTGTATTGAATTTATTCAATGTTAAATTTTTGTACTCGATGATTATTCCAATCGACGACATAGAGATTGCCATCTCGATCAAATGATAAACAGTCGGGTCCATTGAGTTGATTCGAGTATGCTCCTGAACCGTTTCCTCCAACAATGACACTTCCCTGTATGGCTCCTTCTGGCCAACGCATGATTCGATTATTCCAAGAGTCAGCCACATAGACAGTACCCAATTGATCAACAACGACTCCTTCAGGATAATTTAATTGTGTTAGACTATTTCCATATGTTTGACCACCGGCTACAACAATGCCTTGTTTTGCACCTTCTTCCCATTTCATTACACGATGGTTCGCATGATCAGACACATACACTGAATAATTTCGATCGACAAAGACGTAGCGGGGTTTGTAGAGTTGATCGAGACGATTTCCTCTTTCATTGCCACCTGCAACTACTGTCCCTTTAGTGTCGCCAATTTTATATCGTTTCACTTCATCTTTTTCATCGTCAACAATATAGAGAGAACTATTCTCGTCTATTGTCAAGCCACAGCAAGCGATATTCGAAATCATAGTTTCCCCACGAATACCATTTCGACGAGGCCATCGAACTATTCTTTTATTCCCATAATCGGAGATGATGAAACTATCGCTCTTTTTGTCAATAATCACATCTCGTGGATGGTGTAATTGGTGAGCTCCATTTCCTTGTCCATTCCCACCAGCAACCACTTTTCCATTCATTGCACCAGGTTTCCATTCCACAATACGGTCATTTCCATTATCAGCTACATAAATCGTTTGATCATCGTCGACGTACAAACCCCATGGTCCATTGAGTTGATGGATTCCACTGCCTTTTTCATTTTCTCCAGCAACAGTCATACCATACTGCGCCCATGTTGCATTGAGATGAATATCAACCATACTTGCACGTAGTGGTACTGAAACGAAACCAAAGTATGGAGTAGAAATAAATATTGATTTCATTCAAATGAGTTCTTCATTTTGCAGACAATACATGAGATATTTGCAATTTAAGTGATACGATCAGAAAAAATTAATAAAACATTTATCAGAACAAAGATTTCTACAAAAATATGAACTTGTAAAAACTATCAAAGTGTGAATGAAATTATTTTTGGGAGATCTAATTTTTCAACATTTCCATTGAAACTTACAGCTGAAAACGGAATATTTTTGACAATTTACTCTAGTTTTATTGTGAGTCATTGGCGATAATAGCCTATAATGCTAAGATGTGTCGATAAATGTGCATGTTCGAAGAATCAAGTGTTGCTATTTCAATAAATTGTCTCTTGTTGTCATCAAGCTTACTCAATGCAAATTTTAGAGATCAAGAGAAAAGTGAATAGATTTTTCTTTGTATTTCCAGAGCTATTCTGTATGGCTTTTATCCGACAAGGTCCAACTTTCCTCTCGTGTATAAACTTTTTTCTTTTTCGAAACCAAGCTGGTTATGAGAAAAGCTTCTAATAAGTGAATCAAAGTTGAGAAAAGATGATAGCTTATAAAAATTTTGTAAATAGTTATTCTATAGGCAATTATTAGGCTATACAATAAATAGAAGATCAAGAAAGACCTAGTAAACAGTATAAATCGAAACAAAGAAAAATACATAACCAATTCACTAAACTGTTTCTGGTCGGAAGCCCTCAGGTTCGTCGTAAACTAATCGTATGAGGAATATGTAGTTTATTTTAATGGGTAAATGCAAAAAAAAACTGCGAGATAATATCTGATATCTTCAGACTACACAATCTAAGGTTAAAAAGAAAGAAGGAATACAACTGACGATCTCCTTGGAAACTTTGTGTACTTTGGTAAAAAGAGTAGAACCGGCTTCTTTCATTGCAGAGAGGAGTATAGAAAATTTACTTGAGAATATTCAAGTCTGGGTATTTAGAATTTCAAAAAGTCGGATCCACGTTCAAAAATTTTGGATCTGAAGGGCTCTGTTCGTGGTGCTTTTGCAATAGGACGCCCCTTATCTGACGATCGAATCTGTTTCAAACGGCCTCGTTTACTTAAAAGATAATCATAAAATTGTGTACAAGGAATGAAGATTGGATTTACTTTTTAATTCAGTTTCAACTAAATCGTATTTCATTCCAATTATATCCATCAAATACTGGGATAGATATCTGCTCTTTGTGAAGTCTCCATTGAATCAACGTATCATTAATAATCAAGTTCAAGAAAAAACCAAAATCAGGAGAAATCAGGAGAAAATCACAAAAATCAGCTTCTAAATTCAGAAGATTTTTCTATCAGAAGTCTCCTAACCAACTCTAGAGGTTTTGTAACCCTGATTGAGATCCAAGCAAAGGATCTAGAAAGATCAATGTGTTGTCTTTTTCATTCAGTGGATGTTCACCATGATGATAATTCAACTGTACGTTTCCGTCAAACACTCGTCATTCTCCTACAATTCGCTAATGGGAAACGTGGATGAATCCTGGTTGATCTTTGCAAGCATATCAAATCTTATCTAACGAATATGCAGCGATAAATGCTCAGTAACGTTTGTCATTGTTCGGGAACAGAGAACAGTATTTATTATCTGATGTAAAAAAGAAAGGGAATTTGGTTCTATTTATGATCATGGATGCTTTTTTCGACATAACATGCCGGAATACTTGATATTTGAACAGTATATATTGTAGTCCGATTAATTTTTCATGACTCAAAGCTGCCGGTCTCTCAAAATAGTTTTCAATATTTGTTAGCACAGACTCATGTGCTTGTTCTAATTTTACAATAATCTATTTAATCGAATCTCTTGTAGGAAAGAATGAGCGACTTATGATAGAACTTGAACGTGAATAAAAATAATCGAATTATTCAAATAAATGTTTGAGAAATATCTAATAGTGATAGATAATTAAAAACAGAAACTTATATATTGATTTTAATACCTCAAAAATGTTATGTGAAGAATTTTAAGTGTTTCACGTGCTGTTTTTTGTAAAAGAATAATATTAAAAATGGGAGGAAAATTGAGTACCGGAAATTCTTTAAAACCTCTATGTTTTTTGTTCAGGGACAGGAGTTTGTCCAATCTAAAACATTACATATGCTTCCTCTTGGAATGGTCTGAGTGAACAGACCTATTGATTATCGCCTAACATAAATCGCTTTTAAAACACATCTTGTCTATTATTACACTCATGATTACACGGGTATTTTTTAGATCAGAGATCGTTATTAAATCTTGTCCTCTCTCACTGAAAAAAGAACAAGACTTATCGAATACATTTTGTTCTGTCAGATCTTTTTAGCTTTTAGTTTCTTCTATATTAAAACATACTAACATCACTTGAAAGTTCTATTTCCAAAGTCTGAGCCTTTCTCGTTTTTCTTTATCATCACCTATTTCATTGAAATTACTAAAAACATTGACTGATAACTTTCATATACTATATAGTCTTTTCCTACTGATGGCATACAGAACTTTTCGAGTGTCGGAATCGAACAATTGGATATAATTATAAGTCTCTTGTATAGTTCTTAAAAAACTTGATTGTCTTCACTATGTTTATTGGATAGGAATATTTCTGCTAAAATTTTCCTCTCAAATACCTTAATTAAAAAACAATGAACAAATACTTAACCAAATTCTTTTTCTTCAAATAAATAAATGTGGAAACCTCGAATTGAAATCCGAGAGTTATGTGTACTTCAAAAAGTGAATGAGACAGATGAGTCATCCTACAATGTGTGGACATCAAAATTATCCTTGCAAACCTTTTCTATAAAACGCTTGATTTTTATTGGCTACTGCTCAACCAGTAAGATTTACAGACGAATACAGCTCAGAATTGAACTCTTCACCTTCATTTACCTTAAGAAAGGCGTTTTTTCTATAACTTGATTTCTATTGGTTACTGTTCCACCAATAGGATTTCGAGGCGAATGGAGCTCAGATTCGAGTTCTCCGTCCCAGAAAACCTAGAAGCATCATCTCTGTGATCGAAAGACAGAGCTCTAATTGTGGACCAGTTAGAGCGTAGACAAAAACAGAACTAATGCCTGTTTAATTATCTTTGCAATAGACGAGTTAGCATTCTTGTTTCTTTATGTTTCATATACCATTTTGTAGCTCGTGAAATTCTCTATCGAATCGTATATAATAGTTGGAGTCTTATTTGATTGTGATAGTAAAAGTTTTTTACGAAAGTGGGAATAGGTCGATTTTCCTATAGGAAGCCATAGGGAAAAAATGACTATTTTTGCAATAACTCAAGAACGACTCGGTCAATCATGCTCATCTTCGAAATCGACCGAGATATTGTTAAGACTGAACTGTGTAGAAAATTTCATCGCAATCGGTCTCTCCTTTCAAAAGTTATCGTGTAAACGGACGGACACAACACACTGACCGATTCTAGCGTGTACTCACTTTTTGAATACACAAAAACAATGGCTGACTACTATGTGATGTTACTTGTAGAACCGTGTGAAAAATCACTTTGAACACAAAGACAATTTTATTCTCCTTTTATTTTCTGTTTTCACTTCAGTAGATACTGTAAAAAAGTGTGGCTTACATAGATGACACTATTTTCAGACTAATTTTAATTAGTTGACTTTTCACTCTACTTGATGTTTGTAAAAACTTTTCACGCTGTCAAATGGTCTGTAGTGTGGAGTACATGTAGAAGTATCTGATTCCTGTAAAAGTAGGCTATTGAGTTTCCATCAAAGTTCCATTTACTTGCCTACTCTGAACAGTTTTGTAGAAACTTAATTCTCTATTTACTGGCATAAAAATCAAAATATAAAATAACTGTTAAATACGTCAAATCTTTGAAAAAAATTGTGCCATTTACTTTTTAACACCTGCTACTTTTTCTGCTGAGAAAAAACTTTCACAATCTTCCAAAAGAACCTCTTCTTAACTTTAGTAGTGAGGAAAGTTTTGTTTTAGTGGCAGATTCTGCAATTTCGCTATATATTCTAATGACGCTTGAAATTCTCTATTATTCCTTATATTTGTCTATTGTATTATATTTATTTGTTGCAAAAGTTATTTAAATACAGTTAACATACTCTCCATTGACAAGTACGAAAGCTACATTTCTAGTTTTCCTTTTGAAATTATAGATGCTATAGTATATATATAATGCATACCATAGACATTAACTATTTTAGAAAGGTATGTAATGAACAGAACTTTGGTAAGTCTATGTGACTGTCGTGAATCATCGAAATTCGATGAAGTCCGGAAATTCATTGAAATAGATAAAAACATAAAATTCAACAAATTATACTTATAACAAGACCATGAAAACTGAAAGTCTCTTCGAGCACTCAAATAATTAATGAAACTATCAACGTTCAGTATTTCATTATAATCTCATCAAGATTTGAGTTGCTCAACGAAGAAGAAAAACTAAATGTATTTTCACGTACAACATTTAAATATAGTTTCTAAGACAGCATACTCTATCGGTTAAAATAGGCAGATTTCGAATCATAGATGTGTCTGTTTCCATGATTTGAAGAAATGTGAACCATCAGGTCGTGTTGATGATCAAGTATCACTAATGTTCGACACCAAGATATTTTTCTGAAAAACAAATTTGTTCTCAAGCAACTCCTATGCGTACAATCGTCGTTTGACAAAAAAAAATCACATATCCGATGGTACTCTTCAGAACATGAAGGATAAATAAATCTCTTATTCCTTATCAGATGGCATTAGAAGCAGCACAGAATCATAGTTTGTTTTTAACTTTTACCTAATGTTCAATTAGATAATGAATTTCTTATTATTCCACTCACTTTGAGAGGATATGTCAAGAGCGGTTCAGTCAAACGTGTGGGAAGTCAATGTCTTCAACTTTATTCCTTAGTCGACATAATGTGAGAGTACAATATTTCTTTAAAACACCGATTCATTTCATTCTTTTTATTTAAAAATTATTCACATGTTTTCACTGACATCCTCTGGTAGAAATACTAGG